ATTTAAGTTTCATCAGCAATTCGTCAAAATCATCACTGCAATTCATATTTGTTGTATGAAGAAAATTATGAAAAAACAGTTTCTTGAAAGCTCTCTCAAACTGGATTGGTGTAGGATTTACACAATTTCCTCCCTGTTGTCTAACAGTACCAAAAAAATTCTCAATTGTATCTTGATTTACTCTTCGAGTTTTCAGATTTTTGAAATCTACTGCTTGCAACTTTTCCCAGAGTTTCAAAATACCATCGATGGTAACAATCCAACAATTTTTGAACTTTGACTTGGAAGTAACATCATTTCCATCCTTATTCAAAATCCTCAGCTCACAAATGAAATCTTTCATTTCTATCATGTATTGCATCTGATAATCAGACCCATCAAAAACATTTTTGAATTTATTTGGGTGATTATTGTCAGAAGAATTCAATAAATTAAATAATTTATCAAATTTTTCAATTACGTCTATAGTTGCCATGGCATCTGCAGGAAGAGCCCCCAAACTCACATAAGTATTCATTGCACTAGCTACTGTGTTACTCAGAACTTGGGTAGCAAGTTTGACTTTCATTTTTTCAAAATTTGTAGGACAAATATGTGAAGATGTGAGTTTGGGTGCACATCTATAGGTTTGTTTTTTATCTTGCTGAAAAAACATCCAAGACAGCAATTTTCTTAGGAGGTCCTTCGCAATTATCATCATCGATAACTTCCAAGGAGTGCTTAGTGGCACTGTAAGGAAATATGGATGGAACTGCATTTTGGAATAGATGTTTACAAGTTCCAGATTGAGAAATGACTTCTTTGGCAAAATGTTTCTACCCTATAGTTTCTATGCAAGGCATGGATACTTTTACCTAATAAATCCTCTCTGTTGCATAACCACAGCCAACAAGCAGCCCTAAAAAAAACATGAACAAAATATCAATTTATTTGCATGGGACATTTCCAAATGATTATAAATAAAACGTTCAAAAAGTTGCGTTGAGATAATGCTGTGAAATGAAAATTATTATTTCCGTGTTAGGAATTACACGTTAAAAGGTAAGACCTCGTTAATCCTTAGCTCGCACAAGTTTTGACTTCTGAGGGTTGTCGTTCGTAGGGGTGCAACAGCTGGTTAACGGAAAAACAGATTATAAACAGATTAACATTTATCTACCTTGTAGAATCCTCTGGAATTCTGAATAAACTTATATTTTCGCCAGTTTTGGAAAACAACAACAAACAACACAAACTGTCCCTCCTTTGCGAAACATTCTCCTGTCTAAAATATATTTCACTTATTCACAAATTTTATTATATTCCAATAGCACAGCCAATAGTTATTGAAATAAAATTTGTAAACAATAACAAAGGAACGTTGAGTGAAAAGTGAGGTTGACGTTAAAAACACCAAATGCGTATAAAAACTAGGTTCTGGCGGGTAGCCTAGCTTTCGTATCTGGTCAGCTAAAGCATATAGGAGATTTCTTATGTGTCCTAACCACTGACGTAGTCCTAACATAAATGGTTGTGAATATTGCAAGTGTTATAATTTTTGAACTCAATGAGAACTAAAAATGTGTGAATGAAAGGTTGGAAATCTCCAAAATACTCAGACCCAAGAATAGCGATGAGCTAGGATATATTAAAGAAATGTGCAAAAATGATAATATCTGAACAAAATAATTAGAATAAAATTATGAAGATGAATGATGAAAATGATGCTGAAAACAAAAATGAGAACAAATATTTAAAATCAAACTACTTATGACGTTTTGATCGTTGGTATCAACAATGGCTTTCAATTAATATCTGGTTAATATATTTAAATTGAAAGGTTCATTTCTATGTCTTTTACCACCTTATTTGTAACTAACGTTACTGCAGTTTTGTCCTATACGGACATTTTCAAACTTATACAATAAACTAACAATGACTCATTACATTCTCAAGACGGAACGTAATATTTACAGTAATATCATAAATTCCAAATGCGTATGAAAAATGAAAAAAGAGTACCTCCTGATTATGTCATTTACCGAAGTGTGAAATTTACCCAACATGTGACTTATCAAAAAACCCAAATATGACTTTACCCGGGTGTGTCATTATATCACGTACAAGCAGTTTGAACTGCTTCTGTGATTTCTCTGTTTGTTTTTTGCATGTGTTATATTGGTTTTGAAATATTTTATTTTATTATGCAAATAAATATTATTATTATTATTATCATTATTATTCGCCATTATATACCGCCCCTGTAGATACTAATAGAAATAGAGGTACTTGACTTGATTAAGTACCTGAATTTACAGTTCACAATGCGGATGTGCCAATTTAAAAACCGGAGAGTAAATTAAATCGATTTGATCATTTAACAGGTTGCACCCGCAATGTTTATGCTTGTGAGTTTCCAAGGATTCTAAATAATTGAGTTTGCAACCCTTCCTTGCATAGTGAAGAATTTCCGTATCGTTTAGATTCAGAAACTTGTGGTTGCATGCCAAGGAATGGTTTGAAAACGTTGAATCATTTTTTCCTAGTCTGAAGGACCTTTCATGTTCAGCATTCCGTTTTTGGAAATTTCGGCCACATTGTCCCACATGAACACTATTACACTCCGGACACTTGGACACTTAAGCTTATAAACTCCAGATTTTTCCAACTTGTCGACCTTATCTTAGGCATTGAAAAGGAAATGAGATAACCTGGCATGTGGTCTGAATGCTACTTCCACATTGGTTTTTCTGAAGAAACTTGCAATTATTTCTGTTTCTTTTCCAAAATACGTTAGCGTTACCCATTTCTTGATTTATGGTTGTTTGACCTGAGGGTAGGTGAATCATTTCTCTTTTCATTATGATTTCCTACCCCGTAGTAATGGCTACATCCATCAATTTATTGAAAGATTTATATTTTTAGGAGAGGTTAAATGTTAGGAAAGAAAGTTTTTGGCTTTCTACTTCTTCATCTTGATGAAAAAAGTGGGAATCTTTCAAAGAAAGGAAGGAAGCAATCAATTAAAAAAAGTGACTTCATATAAAGATGTGTAGATGATGCAAAAAAGGAACTTTCAGCTGTAAACTGGAAGAAAAATCCCTCTCGAAACAGCTACTTTCATATAAACATTGAATTGCACTAAAGAAAAATACTTTCGAAACAAATACTCTTTAATGAATACTGAATTATACAAAGAAACACTTGTCTCTACCCAGTTTGTATTCCAAACATTCATTCATTTAATTTTTTTTTGTTAACATATTATTGATATAAACTCATTATTCGACCAATTCGATTATTCCTTTTCATTTTAGTCATTTAGGATCACAATACTCCGTTTTTTTTCACATTCTATACTCATTATTGATTTTTTGTCTTGAATATTTCTTTTTCAACTGTTTTTAATTTGTTTCAATTATTTTTTTTTCGATTTCCCCATTCTCAGATAGATTTGTTTGCCAACTCGTAATCATTCGGAGTAAAATGTTTCTTGCAAACAATAAGTCAGGCCATTTGTCAAGGATTTGTTTATCATTTGGAAATCTGTGATGAGAACTACTCACGAATAAAAGACGTTTTGATCAATTAGGAGGCATATTATTAACACTCAGTTTGAGCCAAAACCTCGCAAAACGAACTCGAAATAATTTAAACAAGCCAAAATCAAACATCCATCTCTCAGGCACTTGAATAGCTGTCGTCTATACCACTTGTCCTCCAACGCCCTCTGATGGCCTGGCCGAAGATGGTCTTCATTTGATAAATAATTATTCTGGAAAAATATCCTCATATTCTCAGCATGGAATCAGAATAACCAATTAATTGAAAATTGAATCAGCATGTGTGATGGTTCATACTTGAAAAATAATCCAAGCTACTTTTTATGGAGTTTAGGATTGTTGAAGATATAATTATAGTATCCTCATAATGCACGATCAACTTGGGAAGAAATATATGTGACAAAATGACTTCAATATCAATATATTTTACATTACTCTCAAGTTTCTATTACAAATTCAAGTGATTGGAAAATCGTGTATGTGAAAGGCCATTAAAGTTGATGATTTTTCTCTCCTTTTCATGAAACTTCATCAATACTGAAAAATAAAATGTTTCATCTATGATTCACTTCGGCCCAACTTACTTCACCATTACTGAAACGTATTATAATGCATTGAAAGTACTACTCCATGAAAACAATAAAAATTATTGACCATAGTGATGCGACCCCAAGGTTGCCAACTGCGGTAAAATAATGACATTTGACAATTTGACATTCTACTAATGAATAAATAACCTATCTTTCTGAGTTCCTTCTGTATTTTAATTTTTGGGACATAATTGGGACATATTTCTCAATAGCTAAATCTTCATTCTGGATCCCCAACTTCATATAGGACGACTGGAAATCTCTTTTCGACCATATTATGGAAATCAGTTTCTCATTTACCAAAAATGAAAATGCAGAAGGAACTTAGAAAGATATGTTATTTATTTATCAGCAAATGTCAAATGTCATTATTTTACCGCAGTTGGCAACCATGGGGTCGCATCACTTAATAAGGTCAATTCTCTTTCTCTAATTTTGTTGGACGTTGCTTCCCACTCGGGCGAATTTATCCAGACTCCTCCTATCAAAGATGACAGGAGTTACGTCGGGGTGGGGGGGTGCAGCGGTTTTGCTCGAAGCAATGCTGCCACCCCTTTTTTGTCGAACTTTTTCACGATAAAAACAATTCAAATTTTTTATTGTTGCCTTCTGCTCGGAAGACCTTTTGATCTTTTCACATATATTTTATGAGTCGCCTCCTTTTCGGGAAACCTTCAGGTTTTCAAATTCACATACATGACCCCCTTTACGTAGTTATCCGAACCACTACGGCCTGGATACCGGCGTGAATGAAGGGGGCCCTCACTTCACATTTTTGTTTGAACTTTCACATACACTTCAACATCTTTGCACAATAGACAATCACAACATAAATAGAAGCCCCGTGATAGCACGTAGCATCCGCGCACCTTCTTTGTGGACGGACGTTATCGGCACACGTCCACTACCACGGCCACCACGAAACTCCATAAAAATAATTTATTCAACATTTGTATTTTCTCTACACATGCCATCGTCCTACCAATCACTGAAGCCGCACGATTTTGAAGAGCTCGTGCTGAAACTGACTACAATTCTCAATGACCCGGCTTTCCAATGAAATAAGTGGAATGACATTTGTTTCACCAATGGAACACAAGCAATGCACTCGTTTGGCACTGATTTCAGTAAAAGAAAACGCTATGAGTCGAGTTGCTGAGATATGTGTGATTGAAATTGCAAACGAACAGAGGTCATTAGTTCCTCCAATAATTTTATTGAATTCTAAAAACGAATTGTTCCTGAATCATTGAATGTTCATACGTTCATTTTTTCCAGTAATAAAAACATTAAAAAATTGTTATAAAATGGACTCGTTCAAATCTATATTCAAATGTCAAAATATTTTCCGTGTTTGTTCGATTTCCACCAGCTTGACTCTTGACTGCGCATTCAGTTCACGCATGACGAATGGCGTCCAGTTGTTATTGTTGAAAGCGTTTAATTATTTGTAATAAGATTATGAGTGTTTTTACAGTCTTTTTACACAAAATTGTACAAATTAGTGATCTTATTGTTTAATCGGATAAGTGCTACGCAGGACTTTCCAGCCAGTTTTCTGGGTTTGAGTGTCAAAAGTATGTCACATAAAATGGGGTATATAATGTTTCTTGGCCGTAAGCAAATCAATTTCCGTAACAAATTTTTGGACTTTTGTATGAGAGGATAACTGCAAACTCAGCAGAAACATTCTTTGAAATAGTATTCAGCTAGTTTGAAAGTTTTTAAAGTGTAATTAAGTTTGTGAGTGATAAAATATCCATTTGAACACATGGAATAACACTCCCCCGTCCGTCGAACAAGATGGCTGCGATCAGTTCCATCTTTCCATTTCGCGATATTGTTGGCTTTTAGTTACGGGAATGGGTTTAATATTACTTGCTTATACCGCATTCGCGATTTTTTCTTAAAAGTCTGTCGTTTTTAACGGTCGCACCTTTTGGGAAACAAGTAATATTTTCTGTGTGTAATTGATAAATAAGTACATCTTTATAGCAGTGATTACTAGGGATAATTTTCCAGGTGCCTGAAGTGCTTCATATGGCTTTTCGAGAAAATGTGGTTGGCGATAGTAGCAAATGTACATCATTATGCTAATTTTTAATGGCAGCAAATAGTGACGGACAATTAGAACTATCTACGGTTTTAACCTGTGAAGGGGACCTGACAGACCCCAGGTTCCCTACACAGCTGAACAAAGTGTTAAACAGGTTGAATGAAATTTTGGGTGATACAGTGAAACTACGCAAACTGGAGCCCTGGAACTCGGTGCGTGTAACGCTGTCTATTCCTAGGGATGCAGCGTTACGCTTCAGAAGACTAGCCAATGAAGGCTCACAAAAACTCACAGAACTTGGGATACTTAGTGTTCACATTGAGGGGGACGAGTGGATATCTCTTAAATTTGCAGGTGAATCTGGCAATTCCGAACCTCGAGAAATAATTCTGAGAACCTCTCAAGGTAATTTTGTTTAAAGTAATTATATTCATATTATATAAAATTATTCAAATGTTTGGTAAATGTTCGCTTTGCAACTCCCTCTGGCTTCTGTTTGTTTTTTGTTTACTGATCATGAATCTGAAGTCACTTTGAGACATACAGTCACTCAAATGCGCCACTGGAATCAATCAAGTCGGAGTGCTAATTAAGTTTTGTTGTCGTTCCATAATTTGTTTTACTTTCTTTCTTATGTATTGAAAATTTACTATTTTAGGAACTCGCTTACCTGTAAAATGTCCTTTTTTCACAATCACATGCTGCGGGTTTCTGTTTACTGGCCAATTCCATTTCTTCCATACAGACCAATTAATTTCCTCAAAATCTTGAATAAAACTTTTGCAGTTTGACAACATATTTTTCATTTCTTGAATTTAACTTTTCATGATGTTGTCAACAAATAAAACTACTCCAGGGAAGTGATGATTTCATTTTATCATTTATAACGTGAAACCAAAAAGGGTTAGAATTTTTCATGATATAAACATTTTTCATTCTGTGAAAATATTTGATATGGGTGAATATTACAATTTCAACTTTTAAGAAGCCATATCCAAAGCCCAAATATTTATGTCTCAGAAAGTTTTGCAAAAACTAGCAATAACTGGATAAAGGAACATTTACCAAATATTTGCAGAGTACTGTGATCAGAAATAAATAAACAGGTCAACGTCTACACCCTCCAAATGTATGCAATAAAAATATAAGTTTCTATTGGTTTTCATGTAAAATATTTATGAAATTGAAGTTTAAAAAAGCTGATATAATAAATACATTAACTTACATATTTCTCATGATATGAAATGAAATATGTTGGAATTCATAAAACCTAAACTTTTTTCAATAGGAATGAAAATTTAGCCATAAAAGGAGTTGAATCCAAAACAACTCCTTGTGGTACCTTCCTCAGATCTTTGATGTGAAAAAATCATATCCCTGGAGAAACCACTTTGCTTTTGTATTTATTATCAGACCATAATTGTAAGCAATTTTTTTAGTCAGTTCCTGAAATTTGTGCTCTTTATTCAAGAGTGATATCGTGGGTTCTGTCTCTCCTGTCTAAAAATAAAATTGATTTTCGTTTTTTCAATTACATTGTAAAAAGCAATATAGATCTACATATCTCAACTGTCCCAGCTCAAAAATGCATTCTAAACCTAATGTTCTTGTTATCACATCTTGTCAGGTTTAGAAACATTTTTTTGTTTTTTCCACAAGTTTCAGTTTGTGTACAACTGGGGTTTCTTAAACAACTGATTTAATGCCAGGCTCACTTTAGGAGCCGTTTACTGTTGAGCTGACAAACAGTTTTAGGCTTCTTAATTAGCCTATTGGATACATTTTTGCTCCTAAAATTGTTTTTTTTTGTGACTACCGTAGACATGCACGATAAAAACAGAATTAATTTTATGAATTAGTGGGGGAGAGATAGAAATATATTGATAATTTTAAGTTCATTTAGTGGTTCAAAAGTGAAGCTAGCAGAGCCGACTACTTGAAGAAATAACAAATAGAAAATCGGTGATGGTTTGGAATACGTGCCTGAAATTATGAAGTACCTAGTCTGATTCAACAAAATGTTTTTTCTGTGGCTCTATTCCAGAATATTATGCTCTTCATTTAAAGGAGGTATTGTGGGTTCTGCTACCTTGATGTTGAGTTAGTAGAACACATGATATATCCGTTAAATAACAAGTAAAAAATTCTGGAATAGAGTATAGGCTTAGCTTGAAATTATGGCTTTAAAATAATTGTGATGTCCAAAGTGGTTCTGCTGGCTTATTAGGGGTAATGTTATTTACTACTCCTATAAGACTCAAAACTCAGGACTCTCAAGGCCTTGCATTGAATATTTTTTAGGAGTCTGATTGACGATTGAAAACTTGAAACGTCCTGAAACATTGCTTCTACCATTTCTCCTATTGTTGAGTTTTGTATACGCATCCAAGTATTTGATGTGATATTAATCAAAAGAAATATATAATTTTTTATATAATATAAGTAAAGAAAAGTGTACGTCTTCACTGCTGTAGCTTACCGTTTGAACAGCCCTAGTGGCTGAAAGTATGTAAAATTTAGGTTCAAATTAATTCAATAAATCGGAAAGACTCGTATTTTTTAACTCGCTTTAGGCATTCACATTTGGTGGTTGACGTCAAGCAAATTGACAGTAATTTGTAAACTGGCATTGTTTTTGAGTAGAGTTGGTGGCATTGCGATAATTATTATGAGGAATGCATTTCTGTGCCAATGCCACTGTGCCAACCACTTTAAAAATTGCTGTCAGTTTGTCAACCGCTTAAGATACTATAATCCAATACACCAATATATCGGATTAGAGAAATAATTTATTGTGAGATTTTCACTACACAGTTTTACAAAAACGCAACACGTGCTTCTTATTCTATACATGCCTATACTAACTGAAATCTACAATTCAATGCTTCATATCTATTTTTACAATTTGAAGTATCTGAATTTTGTTATTGAATTACATAAAATAATTTCACTATTAGACCTGTGATGTCATATAACGGCTCCATCCATAAAATCTCAGAAATACCCATAACATTAATGAAAATCTATACTAATTTCAAGCCGCGATGTAGTATCAATAAAACATATCAATTGGTGAAGTAAAAGTAGCAGTCAAAGGTCAAAGTTCCTAATGTTTTAAGCCTAGTAAATCTTTGGGAGACACTGAGTTCTTGAGTTCTGATGTAATCTGGGACACTCATTATGAATGTCACCCTTAGTCACCAAAATGATGAATATGAAAGTAGCAAAAAAAAATTTGAATCCACAAATATTGTTGGTTAAAAGGAGTGTCAGCCACTTGAGATTCCTGCAGATGTTTTGAAAGTAATTGAAAATATTAATGCCAGGACTACCCAATGCAACTAACATTCAGAGATACCAACTACTTTTCCTTGTTTCTTTGAGCATATCCATTCCTTCCAAGCCCATTTATCCCACTTATCAACGATTCATAATTAGAAATATCCAAAAAAGTCAAATTTCGTGGTTTTCCTCGATTTGTACATCTACTCATACCAGACCCTTTACAAAGTCATTTTCGGATTCGTTAAAATTATCTAAAGATATCATCCCAGGCTTTAGTAAACATTGGCCAAAGTCACAAATAAGTAGAATGAAAGTCAAGAGGCTGAAATGAAAATTTGTGGAAAACTGGAAAAAAGTGCAAACTTTTAAACAAGCGTATCCTTCAAATGAAATATCGCATAATATTTATATCATTATTGTTGCATTTGTATAATGCGGTTTACTTTCAAAGAGGATAAAATTTGTGTTTTTATGTGTAATTTCAGTCTAGGTGACCAATTTTCTCTGTGGAGATACCAATAGTTTCTGAGAAATTGAGTTTTCCAAAATAAGTCTAAAAACAAGAAAAAAAAACTTCGGTATTTTATTCCCACTTTAGGGGAATCACTTATAAGAAAGAAATTAAAGTATATGGATGAGTGCCGTTTTTCTTTAAAAAATGGATTGGTTGCCGAGGACAGAGTTTTCTGTCAATCCCACATATGGCATTTTCGTGAGGAGAGATATTGTCTTGATTTTCACTTTCAAGTAAACCTCATTTAAAATAACTGTCAAAGATACCATACTTTTAATTTTTCTGTTCCAATAAGAAAAAACTTTACATTGTGATTTTTTTTTCACGGAAAAAGGAATGAATCCTGAAAATTTCAAATTTTACTAGTTTTTTGTCAAAATAAAACACGATTATTCTCATGAATATGGTTTGTGATTTTATAGCCAGTCAAGTTGATTTTGCTAATTCAGTCATCTTGTTTTATAGATGGTTCAACTACTAGTGGTGGTAGTAGCGGAAGTAGTAGTCAACACGATTCAGATTTTGGAATCATAAATTTTTTGCAAACCAATGCAGCATCAACTTCTGTTGACACCAACAATATGCAAGTGCAATTTAAATCACCAAATGTGGTATGCCCCACAGATACGGTGGTACCCAAAGTGGGTAATAATGGGAAGGCATTCACTGGTCCATTTCCATTCGCCAGTATGAATCAGGTATTTGTCTCTATGAACAATTTTATAATCAGACTTTATAACTTTTTTATGTTTATTAGGTTAGACATGCTAATCGCGAAACACCTTTCAAGTCTTTGCCACCACCATATCCTGGCAAGCAGCCACCTGTCACCATTTCGAGTCCTCTTCTTGTTAATCTTCTACAAAATGATGGGTCCAAAGAGTCTGGCAGTGGTCCGAAGGTATCTGCTCGGACTCATCCAGCAACTACTACGCTAGTGAATTCGGTGGGAGTATCTAGTTCTTCTATAGTCAAACCTAGCAACTCTATACCGATTCCTCAGGCCAATGTGCTAGTAAATAACTGTATATCACCAAGCGCCTTATCAACTAGTACTTCCATTAGGCAGAATAGCACCATACTGACAAGTACAACAGGAGTGATGAACAAACCACTGCCGCCACCCCCACCTCAATACCATCGGACACTTTCTTCTTCAGTGGTGAGTTTATTCAACAGTTATAATTAAGTCAAAGAAAAATAGTACGGTACTATATACATATATATTTTTTTTAGGTTAAACAACATTCAGTATCTGGCCTCCAAAACAGCAGTACTCCTCAATCAAAATTGCAAAATAATCCTCTACCCCAAAACAATAATATTATCTCACATTCTACACAACCGCAAGTCAATGCCATAACCCAGCCAGCAATCGCTGTACATCAAACCAATATTTATCAAATGCAAACTGCAACTTCAGGACAGCCTAGGAATCCTTTAGTACAACAAAGTTCTTTGCCTTCAACTGGGCTTGCTTTGAACCAAACAAACATTAATTCAAATCAAATGAAGCATAACTTTCCTACTAAAAACAGTTTCATATCTAATTTAGTCAAAACACCATCTACAAATATCTCCATTGGAAATAATCCCATTCCTACAGCTCAACAGAAAAGTTCTATTATGAGCCAAACTACAAATAATGTAAAACAAATACCTCAACCAAGTGGGTTGGTTGCTAAAAATACCACTAGTTACTTGCCACAACACATCAAGAGTTTTTCTCATTCAAATTCAGCTAATATTGGAGGTTCAGTTGTTTCCTTGGCACAAATCAGTTTGGCTACATCCACTCCAATATCTTCTGTATCAAATACAATGGAAATGCCAAGTGTAAATCCCACAAATTTGAGTAATACTATGTCGAGGAGAAGTTTACCATCTCCACCACCATACTCAGTTGCAATATCAAGGCCTTGGGATTCTTTAGTGCATGGAAATTCATTAATGGATTTAACTCCTACTCTAACTGACCTGAAACCTGATGATTTGGATGAATTACTGCCAACCTTGGAAAGGGAGTTAACTCAGAGTCCACTTCCTGAGCTACCTGAAGACTTTTTGGCAGTTCACTCCAATATTATATCATCTGCTGAAGAGTTAACTGAATTGAATGATAACAGAAAATTTCTCATTAACCCACTGACTGGAGAATTGGAACCACAATCCAGTGAAGAGAGTGATACAGAGGAAATGAAAGATGTTTTTACTGGTTTACCTTCACCGGCTGCTCTCTCAGATGATGATACTTGTTCAACTACTCGACCTGATACCACCACCGATCAAAGCGATAATGAAACTCGGTCAAGTGATACAAACAAGCCTCCCAGGATAAAAAACTCCAAGGTGAGAGATCGTGGACGAGATTCACCTGCTCTCAAACCTGAGAAAATAAAATTGAGATTGAAATTGGAAAAATCTGAGCCAGTACATCCGGCATATAAAGTCGATGTTAGCTTCATCAATCAGCAACCGAAAAAAGCTTCTACTTCATTGATGGTTGCTGGAGAAGAGTTGAGAGTACCACCTCTTCATATTTCATTGAGGGGGCGAAATTCTGTAGTAATCAAGAACAAGAACAAACTTAACCCAGATGGTACGCCCCTCAAACCTAAGGTGCGGAAAAATCCAGATCACATGAAGGTGAAAAAAAGTGAGGGAGTGAGTAGTGTGAGTAGTTCTGAAGAATCCATTGGAAGTACCAGTAACATGGCTTTGGAAGAGCAGTCAATATTGATCGGATCTGATGTTAATAAAGCAAGAGTTTCTGGCATTGATCAGAAGAAGTTAAAGAAGTTGAAAATTAATCATGAACATAAGGTAAGGAAATTCAAGTTAATATTTAGAATTTTGAGATAATTCATTAATTTAGGTCTAAGCGTCTAATATATATTAGTTTTTGTGTATAATAGTTGATTGCAATCATATAAATTAATATGAGTGCCCTAGTAGGCCTTTTTTTACTTTTTTATACATTGCATCACATTCAGTTATGAAAACATGTATTACCATATTTTTGATATGTGATAGATTACAGATTTGTTTTTTTTAGAGGTGTATACCTTACATTTTCAATATACTGGTAGGAAATCTGAACTTGGTCTACTGCAAATTCAAAGAGTCGATTCTCGAGAAATGTTAAAGCTTTAAAGTTCCATTGTCAAAAAGTGGTAACAGATTTGAAAAGTAAGAACAGAAAAATACATGAAATAAAATTATTCAAAAAAATGAAGACTGAAATGTAAAATTATGAGAAGGCAAATTTATTGAAGAAACAAAGTATTGTGACCTGAAATGAAAGATGATTAATAAATAAAGAAAGATTTCGAACCAAGCAACTTCAAGTTTTTTTAAACTTAGTAATTAGTGTGCTTTGAACAGTAATATATTATATACTATCTATTCAACTCCTTTCCCATTTGAATGAAAGAGATGTCAAAAACTTCTGCAATATAATTTGTAGTAACTGCTAAGTAGTGCATACATACGTAAGCAATTTGGAATCTCTGACGTGAAATGACAACACTTTTTCCTAACCAGAACAAAAATGCTTTCTCTCAATGTGCCTTTGCTAACCATATTAGCAATATTATGAGATGACTGAGACTACTTTTCCGACTATGCTAATGTTTATACATATCTAGAAGAATCATTACGTGTCATAATGAGGGTCAATAAAATTCCTAGTTTCTAATGTTATCTGATATCTAATCTTTTCCTATATTCTATCTGTAACTTAAATTGCAAATAAGGAGCTGCAAGGTATAGAACCTTAATTGCTATTCATAGAACTCACTTCATATTTATTGATTTCTGAACTCTGAAAGGCATCTGAAAATTTGTTGTCATGTATCGGTCTCAACCGTTACAAGCATTCCTCACTTATTCTGTGTTCGTTTTCTATAGCATGTTGAGCAACCTGGCCCATGAAACCAAAAGAGTGAAACATGTTTCTTGTAGCAAGCTGTTTTAACAATCCTCTTATTTTGACTGACATACTTTTCATCTCAATCCTCACAGCTTATTTCGTAAATTTCAGACTTTTTTTTGTCATCTTCCGATGACAGAAAAACATCGGCAAGACTAACCTCTGTGAGGTATCTTGTATAAATGCCTGTCAGATTTAAGTAATTGTTTTCCGTCAGGCAATTTCCAGAACCTACAGTGTGTGTAAATTGGGAAAGATGAATATTTCTAGATTTCATTTTGAAATATTTATTTTCTCAATACAATTCAAATTTGTTGGAATGTACAAGCAGTTTTGAAAGACACTTTCATATTCAATTTTTAAAAGTTTGAACCAATTAATTGGTGTATTAGGTTTTTGAATGGTTAAGGATTTAGGAAAACATCTAAATTTTTCTCTTCTTGATCAACTTATCCATTGTGTTTCAAAGACACCTGTTACTTACAGCTATCTCCTTGATAATATTTTTCTCAATATCGTATCTTTTTTTAATTAATTAACACATTTTTATTAGCTTCACCTGTATGTATGTATGTATGTTTGTTTGTAACTATCAAGCTCGGGATCTGTATTTGACAGAATTATCGACGTTATTGATTGATCTATTCGCTGGCAGAAGGCGCTGTACGTAACCGCTGTACGTAACTAACTTAACATGTATTTCTTCATTTGAAAAAAGTATTTTTTTTAATTAACACTTGGGCCTGCTGCCTTATTTGTAAGCCTCCTTTGCGCGCCTGCTGTCTTGAGCATGGTAGCTGATTTTCAGGCTCCCTCTCCGGAGAACAATATATGGCTGATCGGTCCCAAAGATTAGATAAAATAAATATAGTTTAAAAAGACTAAACACGCTTTTAAAGAACATCGAACTAAAAAGGTAAAAACAATTTTTTTCAAATAAGCTCAAAACAATAACGAACAGAAGACTTGCTTATTCAGTTTGAACAAATGTAGCTCATCAATCTTGATGAAGAATAATTTTAGATTTCTTTTGATCCCATAGATGGTATCCTCATAGAGAAAAATTTTTATTTATTTTCCACGTATTTCACCACAAATGACGTAAAAACAGGACAATTAATTCTTCGATCATGAGAGGTTTCAACTTTTGGATCAGAGTTCATCTAGAATGTTACAGATATTACGATAATTATTGGACAGTCCACCTGAACATTTTAGATGTTGCGGATTCGATAGGAAAAATCTGAGATTGGTGGCCAAATATAATGATTCAACAGAACTTACACTAGACATACATAAAATCAATAAATATGGTCCCACGCTTTTTTCATGATAATACTAGTTATTTTCGTTCGTTATTGTTTTTAGCTTATTTAAAAAAACATTTTCAACTTTCTGGTTCGATGTTCTTTAAATGCGTGTTTTTTAAGCTATATTTATTTATTAAAGGGACCGTGACCAGCCTACGTACATCAAATCCCATACCCAGATTTCTAATATTGTCTCGCGATTGTAATTAAGAGTAGCATATAACATTTTCATTATTCAAATAAATAAATCCTTGGCATCACACCCTCCAAAACTTTCTAAATATCTTATCTGAAAAACATTAAAACATCGGCAATGCACACACATTCGAAAAGTAATTTTGTAATAAAAATGGTCTCCTGCCACCAACTTTCACAACATGTTAGTTATAAAGTAATCTTTAACTATATCCAATACTTGTTTTTTATTTCTGATTCTTAATCTCAAATTTTTATAGCTGACATTTTTTTATCAAAGAAATGATTCACTAGGGTATCATTATTTCTTGTTCTATACTTTTTTAAAAACCATCAGTTTTCTTTTCCCATAAATAACTATCCGACTTGTGATGCACTGTTTGGAATCTTTTTGTAGTGATGAATATTACTGGAGTTTCATACCAACACCAAACCATTATTTTCAACACCTCGAAATGTGTTTTAATCACCAAGTGATCATCTTCAAGAGGAAGATTAAACATCTCTTAATCCTACTTCTGAAGATGATCACTTAGTAATCCAAACACATGTCGAGGTGCTAAAAATAACGGTTTGGTGTTGGGATAAAACTCCAGTAATATTTCTTAACTATCCGACTGAAACAGCCTTCATCAATTATATCATTTTCAGCAACATATTAATTATAATAATAATATAAACCTGATCATCGCTCAAGCACAGAAGAACTCTGTTCGTTGGGTTTGGCACTATATTTTTTGTCATAATAACTATCATATTTTTTGTAGTTGTTACTTTACATTTATGTTTTCTTCAACTTTGTCAATAAGATGAAAATTTTCAGGCAATAAGTATATTTTGGTTTGATTTGAATGCAAAATATTGAGAATTGACTCTGTATGTAAATTCATAACAGACTGATCTTAAAGTTCAGATTAAATTTTAGTGTTTTGAAAATAGGGGCCCATCAAACTAACTGTACAGCAAAAATTCAAATCAGTATTTCTTCAAACCTCGATTTCTAATCCTAAATGTAACCCACTGTCTAAAAATATAGATGAATTATTGAAACTATTTTTAAAAACTACAGGGAAGAGACTTGTAGCTGCAGTTATATCTTATGAAGTATGACCAGGAGGTCATTAATTCAAAACCAAAATAGAACAAGAGTCGTCACCCAGATTTCTCTATCCCATTTCAGGTCGGCTCTATTATGTTTCATGATTCACGGTACCGCAAAATAAGTATGCGAATCCTGATATCATGAACACAAGGCTAGTGACTGCAAAATTTTAAGTTGATGCAGTTATGTCTGAACCCCTTTCCAAATTTCACCTGACAAAAGTGAAATCAATATGTAACAAGTTTAGTGAATAAAGTAGTTCTATTTTTTTCAAACTAATGTTCATATTGGAAAATTTTTGAATAAATGAAAATTAATTCAATATAGAAACTAGATGACCCAGCCACACCATTTAGGAATTAGGATACTGCTCTAAGCTAGTTCCATTGTGTATCACCAAAGACTCGTCCCTTGATCAGTTTGAGAAGAGTAGGGTTGTGTCTTAAGTGGAACACATGTCAGAAGCAAATGGAGCCCTAAGAAAAGGAATTATTTAGGAATGTTCACTAGTTATCTAGTCCTTTTGATAATTACATTAGAAAGCTTTAGTTGCCTAGCAGGTCAAGATCATGTTATGTGGTTTTTACTTTGCTTTGTGGTGTTCCGCTATGCAAAGTCATGCAGCAGTTACTTCCCTATATGTCTCCTAAAGGTAACTTGACTCGGAAGTTTCAGGTAATAATTGACGTTTTACTGATTCAGATTACTCAAATGTAGATAGATGTGAAACTAGAGTTTACTCGGGAATTATTGTATCAAAAGTCAATCAAAAATTTGTTAATTGTTTTGTAGCTGTTACTACATGGTAGTAAATCATCATGAAAAATCAGAATTGAAACTTTCTATGGTTTTTACCACTTTTATTTGTAACTAATGTTACTGCAGTTTCTTCAATAAATTCAATACATCGCTAGAACACTTCGTGACACGACTATCGTCAAACTTAAGCCAGTCCGTTTCATCTTTGACCAAGGCTCAATAATGACCAAATTCAACGCCAGAACCACAGTGAACAATGACTGCATGAATATTATATTAGTGGTCTGCTAGATTGAGGTGTTCATCTATTTTGAACATTCGTGAAAGTTTGGTGCTTACGTCAGAGGTTGAGTCACGTTTGAGATCATCAGTGTAATTATTAGATTGACTGGTGCCTCAGCAATACTTATTTCCTTATAACAGTCAGTTAGTTTGGCGCATGTTTGGCAATTCAGTCGATCATCACCAAAATGATGAAGGTGGATCAATCACTTGGGAATTAACCTTGATAGGAGAATGGTGAATATCCTCAGCTTGTTTCAAAGAGATTTTATTTCCGTACTGAAATTAGGGCAATGCATGATCTCATCAAAATTATGTGAAGCAGGAATAGTTCCAAGGACTGAAGCAGCATTACCACGTTGAATCGCAATACCAATTCTTTCTATCAAAAAAAGAGGTAGAACGGTAATCTTTCGTGGCTTGGCCTATTCTCCTTCCGAGTTCATGAACGAATAACTGAGACTCCGGGCCATAAACACCAAAAGTTTCAACCACTACTCGATGGAACAGATAGTTGTTATCAAGATTTTGGTATTTTTTTCTTTTCAATTTTTCGCTACACAATTCTGCGTTTCCAGCAGACTTCAAACTTCCGGCTAGATGGGAATTCGCGATCATGTCAACGCAAGTGAAATCTTATACCACAGGTTTACCGTATTTCCATGGTATGAGAGACATACCATCTGGTCGTTTACCATCATCTCGATTGGTACCTGAAGGTTCCAGAATTGCAGGAACACCCGCTGACAACATAGCTCTTTTCAATATGTCGTTCACTTGGTGATGTCGAGATGTACGCCCTGCCCTTCTGCAACTCAAACCATGTGTACCTTTCTCATCAACTATACTACCACAAACAAAAGTATGATGCACATAAATAGATGAACCCATTCTAAGCCCTACTGCTATTCTGAAAGATTCATCTTCTAATAGTGTTCCAAGAGATGCAACAGGTAAAGCATTCAGCCAAGCACCCGTTCATTCAATCTGGTGGTCAGCAATTTGAGTGATTCCCGTTTTTCTCGAAGATGTTCTGAAAGTGAATCTTTAGAAAGAGGAGCACCCAGAAGACTCCATTTAGACTTTACCAAAATTCTTATACCAGGAGTCAATTTCAAAATGATGTATTCGGAAATATTATTCGGAGTTGAAAGAATAATCAATTCGCATTTTCCAACATTTAGTTCAAATCCAAGATGTTTTGAATAATCGAATGATTTTTTCTAAATCCTTTGAAACAATTTTTTCATCGCCAGCGATTGAGTCATCGTCAAAATCCAAACAATTAAATTCGGATGATGAGCTTCTAGTAAGTTTATTGATGGTCAGACAGTAAAGAGCAGGTCCTAAGGGATCACCTTGTTGAACACCTCTCTCAGACAGAATCAGATTGTTCACCAAAACTCAACTGACTTAAGAAGGGATATAATCCTGAAAACGAATCTTTAACCTTACAAAGCATGATGTTTCTATCAATCATGTTGAAGGCATTTTTGAAGTCTTTTTTCAGGAAAATTTTTGATTCGGGATTTGGAATAAGATTAATATATGTATGAGCAGCATGAGCAACAGCTTCACATCCACCTGTAACAAAAGAAAAAAGTTTCTGTTCTGAATTTCCAGAGCTGTGACTAATGAGGTCTTGAATGTGGCTAGGGCGGAAAGAATCTAAACCACCAGCAGAACCAGAATGAAAATATTTAATTGCCTCCGATACTTCATGTTCTGAAAATTGGAACACCGGAAACTCTAAAAAATCGGGTGGTTGCGAATCCAGGGAATGTGTGAAGGAATCTGATCGTGGGTGTTTTGATCCGAGAACTGAAAGTGTGGATTCATCATATTCGGCCAACGTATCACTTGAGCTCAAGATTCTGATATCTGACCTAATGTAACTATCAGCTATTTTTTGCAAAACATGCTTTAAAAAAATTATATATTTCCTTTTATCGATCTGAGATGGAATGACATTGGTCTTGGAATTAAGAAGTTTGAGGTTTTTCTTTATAAGAGATGCGAGAGAAGATCTACGGGAGTCCTTAGCATGTGGGATGGAGAACAAAGCATAAGGAAAAGTTAACAAGTTTTCCCAGCTTGTTGGAGAGTTTGTATGTAAACATTCATCTATAATTTGGCAGAGACAGAGCAATTTCTAGCAGATTTAGGAATCCTTTTTATAATATGACTGGATCGTTTCAATGAGGACAATTTTTCATGAAACGTAGTGTTAAATGACACATTTTTATGAAAATTAAAGAACTACTGAAAATTTACTCTCATCTTGAAATCAACTGATCGCAATTTTTATTTGTTTGCCAATAAAATAAACTTGGTGGAAATGAATTTTAGGATACTTGGATTAGATACTTAATTAAATGATCTTTCAAATCAGCTCTAATTTGCAAAGTACATTTAGATATTACAATTTTAATATTCATTTGTGTTGACCTCAAACCTTTTTTTGAATTCCTTTACAAAATCCCAAAATGAGTGCTACAAAATCAAAATGGTGTTTTTTTTTTCAGGATATCATTGCTAGTCTCACTCAGGAAGGTGATTTAAAATCCAAGTTTGTCATTCACAACCATTACAAAGAAAAGCAAAAGGAACGCAGAGGAAGTGATTCTGAACTTGTTAGAAATAACAAGAAATATACTGACAGCAATGGCATTTTGTGCGATGAGAAAAAAAGGCGGTTGAGTCAGTCAGAGCAAACTGAAGAAGACCATCCTGTTCTTGGATCTACCAATGTGGGTACGATTATGAACCTTCCTCAAAAACCTCGGAAAGATAAAATTAAAGTTAAAGATATTTTCAAGAAGGATTTGAGCAAAACTAAGATTTTCAACAAAAATTTTGGTGATAAATTACAGAGTAAATCTGTAACTTTACCAACAGCAGGGGATATGAATATGGAGGCCAAATTCAAACAAGGCTTACTTGAAGGAACAGAAGAGAAAGGAGTACCCAGGCCACCACATCGGACCGATGTGGTAAACCTTCTCACCACTGAAACTGTACGATCCGGAGATTCTGAAAAGGTGAGTCTAAAAGAAAGCAATTCATTCAAAAATATTCTACAGTCTAGTACATGAAAGAATATAGCTTCAAAGATACTTCTCATGCTCACAACTAGGGTTATCTCCAGCCACCTATCATCATACTAAGTGAGTGTCACATTAAGTAAGATTGCATCACAAATGAAGGATTGAAGTTATTAAAAAGTGTTTTGTATAAAAATTTAAGATTTCAATGAACTGGGCTTTTTTAAGTTATTCACGAATATACAGAGTGTGGCACCGAAAACAAAACAGATCAAATATCTTCAAAACACATGTTTTCTGAAAAAAATGCAAAAACTCGTTGATTTGTAATCCAAGAGGGACATCTTTCTATCATAACCTCAACTGTCATACCTCTCCCCCTACTCCTCAGTCACTATCACCCAAATATCGTCCGCCATCTTGTGTTTTGCACCGACAAAATCATAATTTCCAACTCTGAAAATCCCCACATACTAATTTTGATTCGAATCTGACCATAATTACAAATTTCGTTCGCCACCTTGGAGTCAACATATTGCTTTTTTGCATTGACAAACAAATCATAATTTCCGACCCTGAAAACCACAACTTATCAATTTTGAATCAAATCGGACCATAATTGCAAATCTTGTCCGTCATTGTGGAGCCGCCATTTTGTTTTTTCCCTTAGAAAAATTTCATAATACATTGTCACCGAATTTATGTCAAATTAGCTTACAAAGGAAGTATCATAATTTGGAATACGGAACTTTTTTTTTCGCAAGAGGGCGCCAAAATAGAAATTGTTACTACTTTTCCTATTCAAATTGTTTGGGTGATAGTGACCGAGGGGTGGGGGAAGAGGTATGACAGTTGAGGTAATGATAGAAAGATATCCCCATTGAATTACAAATCGACGTGTTCTCATATTTTTTTCAGAAAACATGTATTTTGAAGATATTTGATCTGTATCGTTTTCGGTACCCCATAGAAGGGTACCCATAGAAGCTTGCCATATTGAGATTTTTTAAAAGAAGAATGTAACTTACATTGCTTTACATAATAATAATGCCAAATTCTACTATAAAATATTATGCATACATGTTTTCATTATAGAATAATGATTCAATCAAAACCCTTCCTTTTAATTTTGGGTGAAACAAAATTCAAATTGAACTTATTCTAATTTTTTTCATATCTTATTTTATATTTGATTTTCTGATATTTGATTGATTTTCTGTAATCAAAATTCAAAAAGAACTTTTTCTTTTTTCAAATGGAACATCCTTTATTTTTATATATATGAAATAAAATACTAAAAAAAATGTAATATTTCTAACATTGTAATCAAAATATTTTGAATGATGTGGTCCTTACATTCAATGCTAATAATTTTTTCTATTTAACTAACAATATTGCCACCATTTCAGCTCGCAATGATTCCTTTTCTTTACATATTAGGTGGTGAATTTCATTGTATATTATTTTTCTCTGGTGAATATTGAATTAATCATTGACTATTTATCCCTTTCTTATTAAAAAAACATTTACAGTAGAAGTCCGATAATCCGGCACGTTCCGGACCAGCTCGGTGTAGTGTAGGCTTTGCCGTAAAACAAATATACTTTGTGTTTTTAACTACATACATACATAAATCGTAATTATAAGAACAATTAGGTTAATAATTAAACTACAAATAAAGTATACAAATACAACAAAGTTTATTTTACATTTCATATAATGTATGTACATGTACATATTTCACTTAAATTTAAAGAAGTCACGAATGTCTTTTTATTTTCTTGACTTTTGGCGTTTAGTATAAAATTTATATCTAATAATTTGGAAATCAATAATTTCTGAAGCACTGTAGCTAGTACTAGCCTCAACAAAAGAGATTAACTTTTTTAGTGATTCTGTACTAGTTACTTTCTTCAAGATTTTGAGTAGACTGAGGGTTTACTACACTCCTCTACCTCATCTTGAGGCAGATTTTTCAAGGGATTGTCAGCACTTCCAATGACATCCAAAAGTTTGGCCAGAGAGTCTTGATGGTTTTCTTTCTCATCAGTCTGTAGAGTTAGGTCAGATGCAGGGTTTGCAGCTGGTCAAAGTTTTCTCCAGCATTTTTGGAGCGTTATATTTTTCACCTGGTTCCAAGACAGTACAATAGCATAAACAACATCTTTTACTGTAAACTTTTTTTGATCCTGAACTACCCCGAAAACTTCCGAATAGCTCTGGAGCGTTTTTATTTGCTTTAAAGACACTCTTTTGGAGAAAACCAAAATTTTTACAATTTTTCGGAGCGATGCCGGACTATCGGGCATTCCGGACTGTTGGATGCTGGACTTCAAATCCTGGAAATAATGGGTTTGAGAAAATAGTTTTTTATTTATCATTTTCCTTGAATTGAAAATAATTGATATATTTTATTATTAGGCAGCAAAAACAATACCTGATACTACATCTCTCAAAGACAAGTCTCCCGAACCAGACAAATGCAACACTCCCAACAGGAAATCAGTTGAACTGATTGAAAAACCTCCTGCTGTGACGGGTAACCGATCGCCAAACTCTACTGGAAATCAAGGTGAGGACAGTGGCATCGAGAGCATGGATGCTCTGAGTGAAAAGTCTCCTAATCAAGCGAGTCAGAGCCCACATGCTGACATTTTACCTCCCAAGACTCAAGTGCCTAATATGTTGGATATTGAAGCACAGCTCGCCAAGATGGAAGGTTTGAATGGGGACTCTGACAGGGTCGATGGCATTGAGACAAAAGCTGGACAAACACCAGACGTGAATGAAAATAAATGTCAAGACCAGTCGACCAACTTGAAAAAGTGTTGTGAATTAACATCTGTATTACAGGACACCCTTCAACAAACTACAGTTAATTTGACTGCAGCATTAACTTCTCCACCTTTGCCAACCAAACAAGCTGACCTCGATATTGTTGCTCTTAAGGTAAGAGATTTTGATATTTATTTTTTTTTCATTGAGAATGGTTATCTTGAATGGAACCTGATGGCATTTGTTTCATTTAATAGCCCCGAAATGAAAACATTTTAATTTTACAAAAATTTACAGGTTAAAAAGGAGGAGGATGATTTGGAACCATTACCTGTACGAGTAACACCAGCCTTGTACACTTACTCTAACCCAGAAAAAGGTCGAGGAGATTCTGAGAGTCCCATTCTTTCAGATGAAGATAGCAATTCATGTTCAACTAGCAGTACAATGCCTGGTAAGCAGAGTAAAAGCCTCCTTGAGCAGTTACTCATAGAGATACCAAATGACAACCAAGGAGTTCCCAGCTCTCCAAGTCCTGCAACTCGACTATCTGTCAGGACCAGGGCATTAAATAAATTGGGCAGCCCAGAACTGAGCTCGCCAGTGGCAAAAAATACTCGCGCTGTCCCAGCGCCAAAGAGGAAAAGGAATGAATCGGATAGTTCAAACCACAGCTTAGATGAAACAAGAAAGAAGGTACGAAAACTCACTGATAATCTGCCTTCAGATGCTAGCAATGCAACAACAACAAAAATTCGTCCGAATGAAGTTGCAAAAATAAATAACGCTAAAAAGATGCCGAAGGTACAAGATGAGAGTTCAGATAGTGATGAGCCTTTGATAGAGAAGGTGAGGAAACCAGCTATTACAAATGTGAATCCAAATACTCAGGTGAACAATACCCTTGTCAAGACAAAGTTGAAGGCAGGGCCTGGGACTGTTGCTAATAACAATAAGGGTGGGATGGTGGTGAATACTAGGAGGTCGGTAAGAAGCAATATGCCTGCACAGAATACAAGAAGCAAAGGTGAAAAGAGTCAGTCTGAGTCGGAAGCTTTGAGGAGGAAAACGCGAAGTGCTGGTAAGTAAAATGATAATAATATTGTAACATTGATTGTGAGGAAAAGTACTAGGAGAAACAGAAATTGAAGGTTTTTTTTGGGAATAGTCCTTGTCTAGACCAGTCTACAAGAACAGATTACTGTATGTATAATCAGTAAAACAATATAAATAAGCAAATTTGGATGAATTACTATTTTGTTAAAATTTTTCTAATTTGATTAATAACAAAAAGGAGATATGTTATCTATTTTAAGCTAGCTCATTTTTCAAACTGAAAATATTTTACCAGTTCAACAACTACGGAAATAAGGAGACAGTTGAGTAAGTTTGTAGTTAACCTGCACTAGGTATTGACAGAATTTATAGTAAATGCCTTAGGGTGGTGACATTTTATGTAATCCATTATATCACAAAATGGATCATTTTGCACTGAACAATATTCTGAAAAATTGAAATCATCAAACTTCATTCCAATTACCACAATGTTTGTATACAAAGCCAGTTAGCAAAGATAATAATAATGATTATTTATTTATTTATTAATCCAATAAAGTCACATGCAGACTTAGGATAAGTCACATAAGTAAGTAAAAAGAGTATATTTCAAAATAGATTCTGAAGAATATCAAAATTATATAGAAGCAAAGTGATAGTACCTGGTGTAAAAAGTTCACATATAGATATAAATAATGTATATAACATTAGTACTAGACAAAGACTTAGTTAAAAAATTCATTCAGTCTGTAGTAGGGAGTCCACATGAGCATTCTTCTGAGTTTTAATTTAAAGTTACAAATGTAGTTATTTCAGAATGGAGGGTAGGTGTTTGATAACCGTTTAATTTCAAGGTAGCTTTCTAGAGTATTCAAATCTCTTTATTTTCAGCCAAAATGATAGTGAAATCCTATAGAATGGGAGTGTAGGGCGGCTATCTAATTAATAAGTTGATTCATATTTGTGAAATAGAACTCAAATTGTTTGCATAGAATTATTCAGATTGAACATATTGAATGTATCTCAAGGCTCAATCCTGGGACCATTACTGTTGTTTATTTTCAGCAACAATATAATTTTGTCATGCTCATCCCCACAAAAAGAAACATTGTATTTGCTGATGATACAAATTAGCTTATCACTGACAAATTATATCTCGTTATAAGGAAAAGTAATAATAGTGCAAATGAATTTCATCAATGGTGTTCCAATAATGGAACACCATTGATATGGGTATGTTTATTTTATGGAAATTCATGTTCACTGAGGATACACTATAAAAACACACTTTAGTCTATTTTTCACAATGGAAAATAGACAAAAGTGTGTTTTTATAGTGTACCCTCAGTGAATTCTATAAGCCCTTTCAACAAAAGAACATTCATTATAATTTTAATTCGCCAATTAAAATTAATTGTAAACCAATTCAACGGGTACCACACATACAATTTTTGGGTATAACTTTGAGATTAGTAATAGGGTAGAATTGACATGATCCACTTTCCTGAATTACTTAAATTTTGTAATGTTAGGTATTGTGAAAAATGGCGAAGTCTAGCTGAGTCTATACTATTTAACCATCAGAGGGGCTTACACACACAAAAGAGATGTATTATGTGTAATATGTAGAGTGGTTTAAGAGTTTGTCCTGTTGAGTTTTACTGTTTGGAAAGTAACAATTTTTTCATTTTATATTTGAATTTATTAATATTATACATTTCGAACTCATCTGGTAACATATTGTAGGTACATACGAATTGCATAAAAGACAAAGAACCTTTAAAAAAATTGCTGTTCTATGCTGAGGAATGGTGAAGGTAGACTTGTTTCTGACACTCTTTGAATGAATTTGAGATCGAAGAATGAAGCTACGCATCAGGCTTGGTTGGTCAGAATTATTCAAAAGTTTTTTAACGAAGGTACTCAAGTGAAGTCTTCTATTTTGCTTGTTGAGCCATTTACATTCAATGAGTTAATGAGAGAGGGGTCCACTTTTCCATATCCCGAAAATGAGATGACAACAACTATTCGGTATCTTTTCAACACGCATTTTATCAACGATCGTTAAGCATGGACCGTAAATAAAATAACATTAATTGAAGTGACTCAAAACAAGTGACTAACATAGTGTGCGATTCAATTTAATATTGAAAATATGCCGATTACTCCAATTGAGCTTAAGTGATCTAAATTCTCTGCCTACCAAACTTTTGATGTACTGGGAGAAACGCATACGTAGGGTGACACGAAATATGTGCGTGCGCGCATGTGTGTACAGTTGTTGAAGACATATTGTTTATTATATTTAGCTTAGTTGTACTTTATGTAATTTGTTTATTATTATTTATACCATGGAGCCTTGTAGAATGTTTCTTGTTTCTTTACGTAAAATACATTGACTTGTAATGTTCTTAATTGTAGATTTGTGGAAAGGTTGATGATTATAAACTATACATTGTTGAATAGAAATACCTTAATATTTATTTTCTTCTTTTTATTTATTGGTCAATCATTTTTGAAATGGGGAACAATGTGAGAGTTGGACTCGTACAAAATATCGAATATATTTAGTTGGGTTTATTTCAAGGTTGCCGTCTAATCGACCAGTGAAGCCACCATCTATTCTCATAAATATCCAAGCCTTTAACTTTCTCTAGGCGTTCTATTATCAGAACTATTTTCTATTATACAAAGAATGACCAATCTCGTACAGCAGTTAAGTACCATATCTACTTCAACAAACCAACTATCCATAAGAAGGAAGTTCTTGTGGAATTTCTCTCAATGTCCGTTTCTCAACATCACTTATAGAGATTATTATATCGGGCCATATTTAGATGTTGTGCTTCAAACCCGAATTATCAAATTATTTTTAAGTAATTCAAATAGTGACTATCAAATAAAATTTTCTTGTTAGATAGTGCAACCTTCTGAACAAAAAGTAATTCCTTATAGGAAAACAATCTTTTGAAAACAATACATTTATATAAAAAGTAGAAGCTGAATATATTCTTATTCTATATCTGTCATGAAAACTATGAGATCAATTTTTTGTGGAACTCTATGGAAAAAATATCAGAAAACGCTGATCTTCATCTTTGATAATGAAATTGTGTTTTTGGGAAATGAAGTTATTGGCTTTCTACCACTCCATTGTGATACAAAAAGAAGGAATCTTCCAAAGAAACGAAGGAAGCCCTCCTGAAACAGATACTTTCATATAAACATTGAATCACACGAAAGAAGAAAAATTATTTTGAAACAACACTGAATTATACAAAAAATACTTTTCTTTACTCACTTTGTATTCCAAACATTTGTTGTGGAGTTGAATCAGATATCATTCACAGGAGTCCTACACAGTATACTAAATTAAAGGTAAAAATTTCACTTACTGGTAGACATCGATGTTTCGCCTTAAGACTCTTAGAGCTCTTCGACAATACCAATCTGGATAACATAAGAAAAAAACACAATTCATTCAAGAATTACGACTTTGTCACGAAATGAGTTTGATCTACTCATGTCATTGATGACATCGTAATGACATTCATTCGCTCATTTGATTGAATCCCAGCCGAAGGAATCTTGTTTGAATTAAAAAGGTTATATTTTTAGGAGTGATCAATTTTTTTTGTGAAAGAAGGTTTTTGGCTTTCTACTACTCCATCTTGATATAAAAAAAATGTGGGAATCTTCTAAAGAAAGGAAGGAAGCAGTCAATTTCAAAAGAAGTAATTCTCTACACAATGTAGATGATGCAAAGAAGTAACTTTCAGACAAAAACTGGAAAAAAGAGCACTTCTGAAACACCTACTTTCATATAACCATTGAATTACATGAAAGAAAAATTATTTCGAAGCAAATATTTTTATATGAACACTGAATTATACAAAAAAAAATTCTCTTCTCAGTTTGTATTCCAAACATTTGTTGTGGAATTGAATCAGATATCATTCACAGGATTTCTACACAATATACTAAATGAAAGGTAAAAATTTCACTTACATGGAACACTGTCATTCTCACTGGTAGAGATCGATGTTTCGCAGTAAGACACTTGCCTTAGGGCTCTTCGACAGTACCAATCTGGATAACATTATAAGAAAAAACACAATTCATTCATAAAATACGACTTTATGTCACGGAATGAGTTTGATCTACTTATGTCATCGAAGACATTGTATTGACATTCATTCTCTTATTTGTTCCAATAATAGTTATTTATGTATCAAGGGAATTAGGAGGGCCTTAATTACCGATGGCAAAGTTTGCGTCCCGAGGGCCTCTGGCCCGAGGGACAGCAATTGCCTGAGGTTATTAAGGCTCATTAATTCCCGTGGTACATAGATAATTTTATTTCTGACCGATTTCAATAAGTGAAAGGTAGAGGGAATTATAAAATCTATAATGTCCCAAGGGAGTTATGACCCTCTTTATTGATAGCGTAACTATGAAGATATAAGCTTATAATATCCCGGTCAGAAATAAATATTATAATGAACTTTTTGGAAGATTCGTTGATTGACTGTTGAGGTGTTTGCATCGTGCTGTCTACCCAGGAGTTTTTTGCGACGAAGTTGGATTCAGGTGTGCTCTTTTCCTACTAATTTTTCACATTTTCTCAATCTAAAATTTCATTCTCTTTTAACATAAAAGAAAAAAAACATTTTCTTAGTTTGAGCTAATTTAAAATCATGAGTGTTCATTCGGGTGGCGGTTCCCCGCCACCCACAAAAAAATCGTTTTTGCCGGATGATAAAAACTTGAATTATGAAGAGGATCAGGAAAATATTACTTTGGACGAACTTAATGATAGGGAAGTTGAGGAAATAATGAGTTTTAGTAACTCAAGGGCAACTCATTCATCAGATAAGGAAACAGAGGACGATTATAATGAAGAAAAAAGAGAAATTATTCTTTACAAAGAAAACGACCTTGGACCTTATCTGGTGATAGTAGAGGCCAACGAGACCTCAGGCAACAATATTGGTCGATTNTCAAATACCTACAGACCAGTCGCTTTGGTATCAGTCATATCCAAAATCGTGGAGGAATACGTAAACCATCATATTCTCGAATATTTGGAAGGTTTCAACATCATCAATATGACATTAGGAAACAAAGATAAACAGGCACCCATATTTGGAATAACGCAATCTAGAAGCATGGAGAATTAAGAGCTGTTGCGCTTGATATTTCTAAGGCCTTTGACCATGTGTAGCATGAGTGTTTGCAGGTCAAACTTCGATGCAATCAACTTTGGTGTTACTCAGGGATCCATATTCTCTCCAACCCTTTTATTATTTTATATCAGCGACTCATTGAAAAAAAAAAAGAATCCAATGTATTGATTTATTGACGACAGCACACTTCTCTCGACATTCCATTTAGATTCCAGGACATCGACTACGGAGGCACATCTCCACCGGCAGCAGAGGATTGCATATTTTAATGAGTATCTAGAAGTGATTTCAAATTATGGTGAAAGTAAGTGCGCCCGTACACGAGCCACATTTTGCGGTCGGATCGACCACATAGTAGCAGTCGCCCATAAGAAATACTGTACTACACGTACACGGACGTTCACAAAAGTCAAAACGGGCGTTTGCAGTCAACTTGCTGATGATCTCTGCCGTGATATCATCACGGCATCCGCCGTACACTAACCACAAACTTGCAGTCATACCCAACCGCGTACACCGTCGTGTACTTTTTCTCAAATGGTCTCACAGCATTAAATTTTTGATGTCAGTTGCCTCAACTGCAAGTGCGGTTTATATGACCGCAAGTCGACCTCAAATATGTGATTGGGTCAACTGCGAAGTGCAGTCAACGTGGCCATAATGTTGTGGTTTGTTGTGGTTGCCTCAACTGCAAATATGTGGTTCGTGTACGACCGGACTAACCAGGTTCGAATCAATGTCACAAAAACCTAGGCATCGGTTTCCTCCAAGAAGATTAAAGTTTCCGAACCGGATATAATAATGTCATGTCAGACAATTCTGCTTTCTACTTCGAAAAGTTTGTTGGGGGTTAAAATTGACACCACTATGACTAGGCACAATCATGTCGCTAGAATTGCAAAGGCTGCTTCTCAAAATCTTGGAACACATTCTGTCGCCATGAATTCCAACCCATGGGGTAATATACCCAAAGAGTGGAAAGAATCGCTGATTCTGTGCTTACTTAAACAGGGCAAACCGGACGGTGAAACCAATAGTTATAGACCCATAGCTCTAACCTCCTGTCCTCTGAAATTATTAGAAAAAATAATTAAATTCAGAGTAGAATGGCAAATAGAAAATAAGGATACATTATCATTGTATCAATACGGGTTTCGTAAAGGTAAAGGAATTATGGACAATATATCACACTTAGTAACATACATCCAAATAGCATTTGGATTAAACCAATCAGTCATAGTGGCCTTTCTAGACATAAAAGGAGCGTATGATAATGTAAATATACATAAACTATACAAATACCTTTTGCAGTATGGAATACACTCAGATATCAGTAATCTTATATTTAACATATTAATGAACAGGGAAAATATAATTATGGACAATGAGGGAGAGAAACATGGTCCAGCAGTAACAACCAAGATATACTTAAACTCCATCATTTATCCCAGAACATTTTGTTTGTGTATCTTTGTCAATCCCTAACATTCTCATAGCACGAGAAGAAGTAGACGAACAAACACTAAGAAGACGACAGCATGATTCAGAATTAAAATATAAGGGTTGTTACTGAGTGCTAACCCAGACAAGGACAACCCCCCGTATTGAGCTGGCCCCAATTGCGCCTGAACAAGAAGCATCGGCCAATAAAGAAGAGAGAGAGAGAGAACTTTTTGGAACTAAAAACATAAAAAATAACAATCTTGAACTATATTTTTCAAAAACTTTGTAGAAATCATTGAATATACACTTATAAACCCATTAGTCTAGGTATAAAACAAAAAAAAATGTAAACAATAGATGCCTGTTGAATATATTTAATAACAGGAGTAAATAAAGGAAATAATCAAATATCAGTACTCCACCAGCATGACTCATAAACATATATTCCAACAACCATATATTCAAATTTCACAAATAAGTCCAATGATAATTATAGGATTATCTTTGCATGAGACAAACATTTTTATTCTGATTATGAAAAATTTGTACTTTTTTGTATTGTTGTGGAGAAATGTGGACTGTTTGACGTGTGCTTTTTTCTAAATGGTATTGGGAGACATACCATATTGGCGATGTAAGGGTAATTCTTGCAATTATTGCAAGAATTATGCGTTATTTTTGCGTTATTTTTGTAAATTTTCCCCATGTCGTAGATTGAACGCAATGTGTTCCTTGTAAATTAGGTTGTGTCTTATTCAAGGTAGGTAATATTATACATTTGAAATCTTGAAAATTTTCGAGGAATAACATTTTGTTTTAGGGTTGAAATGTGAGGAAATTACTTAAATCAGCTATTTTGGAGAAATTGTAATTCATTGTAATTAGTATGATATTCTTCGAAACAAAAATTAAGTATACAGAAAGGTATTTCTTTTTGTAATTTTGGAAACTTGCCAAAAGTTTATTTTCCACTCCACCACTCTGACATGAAGATTTTAACGATACTTTTTTAGCTGTGGAAGGTTCACTGCCATTTTCAAAAATCCAATTTTTTCAACATTTTGTGAAAATATTGAAAATCCATTCAAAGGCTATAAAGATAGTTCATCTTGGAAATGGCTAGTAAGTCTACGCTAGAATTGACTATAAAACCTGATTACAAACTATGCTGAATTCTCAATCCATATGCCTGCCTCCAGTTCTTGTGTAGCCATAAAAAATATAATTATTAATTGGAAATTTCTGACTGGGGTAAATCGACTGTTATGTGTTTTGTTTCATATATAGTGCAGGCTTACATAGTCCCTTCCCGTCTCAACTTTTGAACGGGACAAAATATTAAGGCCGGCGATGTTGTACGTGAGTCCTGTGTTCTGCAGTCTCAAGAAGTCCCCTTTAATGAGACTCGAGAGAATGCAGAATAAGGTGCTCCGTATTTGCACTAACAGTGACAGATACATTTCATTGAACAATCTGTTAGATCTGGCAGAAGTGGAGTCAGTTAAAACAGTAACAGTGGATTATATATCAGTCTGTTTTACTGGTACCAATGAAAAAGTACCAGTAGATGATATATCAGTCTGTTTTACTGGTACAGATAGGCAATTAGGTAAGTTAGTCGNACTTTCCTGAATTACTTAAATTTTGTAATGTTAGGTATTGTGAAAAATGGCGAAGTCTAGCTGAGTCTATACTATTTAACCATCAGAGGGGCTTACACACACAAAAGAGATGTATTATGTGTAATATGTAGAGTGGTTTAAGAGTTTGTCCTGTTGAGTTTTACTGTTTGGAAAGTAACAATTTTTTCATTTTATATTTGAATTTATTAATATTATACATTTTGAACTCTTCTGGGTAACTTATTATACATACGGATAGCATTAAAGACAAATGACTTTTGAAAAATTGATGTTCTATGCTGAGGGTAGACTTATTTCTGACATTCTTTGAAGGTATTTGAGATTGAGGAGTGAAATAACGTATCAGGCCTGATGGGTCGGGGTTATTCCAAAGTATTTTAAAGAAGGTACTTAAGTCAAGTTGTCTTCTATTTTTCATGTTGAGCCATTTACATTCAATGAGTTTATGAGAAATGGGTATATATTTCCTTCCAGGAAGAACAAATTTTTCATCTGTTACTAGTTGCAATACATTTCCAAAACATTGTTGTGTGTCTGGAAGGTAAATGCCTCTGTCACAATTGGGCCTGTGTGTGATTTTGAATAAATATTGTTCATTTATGAATATAATTTTAGTGAAAGTGGAATACTTTTGAGTAGTCCCAGAACTCCTGAATGTAACAATTTTCGACACCTGTCTCAATTCATGCTCCAGAATAGATATGCTTGCTAAGTGTCCTCAACATTATTTTTCTTGTCTGTCAATAATTTTAAGAAACTTTATGAATCAAGATTCTATGATATGAACAAATTGTCATCTTGAAGGAAATCTCATCTCTCATTTTGAACTCTGAACTATTTTTCATAGCTTTTTTGATACTATGAAAGGGAATCCTAATTTTATTTCCTATTAAAAAAATTAACATTTTTCGTTATTTTTCAGAAAAAGAATCAAAATAATTTCCACACTTTAAATTTTTTTTCTATATACATATTTTTTTTAAAGTTTTGTTGAAGATGATGATACCTTGCATTAAACAGCCACCTTCAGTTCATAATGCGTTGTTGCAAATTTCAACAATACTATTTCGTTAATTGTTGTATTGAATTGAACAAAAAGGAAATATTGGAATAAGCAATGAACGTACCTTTATAATGATGTATTACGAGCCCCTACTTTCCATTCAAACAATTACATTATCTTCCTGATAAGAGACAAAATTTGTTGGTGACGTCACATCTGTATTAAAAATTATGATTTTCATGTCAAATTTATTTCAGTTTCTGATGTGGACAGTAAACGCAAGAAAGAAGTGAAGTGACAGTATGGGAGCGGCTGCTGGGAAAGCAGCCACCAACACCATAACCCATACCAGTACCCACCGTATCGCCCTTACCTGTGTGACCTGTCATCGGAGAGCGAAGATGACAGTTACAGAAGCGAAGACTCTGATCAGTAACCACCACTCTTACTGTACAGATTGTGATATGCTACCCACTATAGTTGTACATAGATAGGCGAATTTATTGTATATAAAAAGATGCGTAGTTATTACACAAGCAGAGGTGTACATTGTAAATGTGTTATTTTCCATACAAGCTAATGCATA